TTTTTTTTTTTTTTTTTTTTTTTTGGTACTTGGGATCAGACTTGGGACTTTGTGCTTTTGAGGCAGGTGGTAGAACCACTGAGCTAAATCCCCATTCCCTAATAAACTTTATATTACCAGTTTTTAGACAGAGACTCCTTAAATGATAAACATGTCTATATGCAGAGCTGAGTATGGATCTGATCCAAAGTTTTAAGGTAATAGAGACAGATACAAAACGAGGGCAAAGATACCAAGCTTTATCCTGTTTCAGTTGCCCAACAGGCATCTGTAGGCCCCAGAGTCACTGTTTTAGCAAAAGCAGCTTTTAAACCCCTGACTGCCCCAAAAGAAAACACAAAGTTTTTTGCTTTTAATGAATAACAGGTTAATGGAGTTTGTTTATTCTGTCCCTCTGTGTTGATCCCAACAGTGTTATTTTCTTGAAGACACTATGGCCTGTTCTTGAAGACACCATGGCCAAAGAAGCTTCCTGGCTTTAATGATACACCTGGTTTTTGAGGCCTGTAAAATTGTTCAGAAGTGTGAGGGGGTAGAGAAGAATACATACCATACTTTTGAAGGGTAACAGGTCTTGAGTTAAGGCCCAGGATTGTACCTGCCCTTTGTCCCTGTGGTAGTCTCTGTCTGTTAGGTACTAGTTGGACTAGGAAGGTAGGAGCTTGGCCATGCAGCAGGGGTCATGAGGCAAGGGCAGGTGGCATTAACACTTTAGCCGCCACAGGGGATCTGGACCGCACAGCAGTGCCCATGACAGTTTATTACCTTGCAGTTCCACCGATCAGTGTGACCTTGCCGTCAACGCTAAAGAGATATTTTTTTTCAGACCGAGATAGAGAGAAGGCTGGCATGCTTATTCCCACCCAGTCCTACCGTTTCTCTACTGATAAGATGAAAGAAAAGTGTGTATTTAATGATGGATCTTACCTGATATCTAGTAAAGCCCTGCCAGACTGGAAAGGAAATGGGTAACCTGTCACAAGAAACCTTGAGGTTGAAAGTACCCCTGTGCATCTGCCACACAGAATTTATCCAACAAGAAATCTGCCCTGGTTTGTTGTTTGGGTGGAGCCACATTAATAGCTGAATAGATGGGACCTACTCAGGTGTACCTGGAAATCTTAGGACAGTGTTTGATTACTACTTGTTGAGAGGCTGAACACCCTGAAGTGCTTAAACTGTTTCATTATGTAGGGGAATCTACCCTGGATGTTGTTTTCTTTTTCTTTTGGAATTAATTTTTAAAACATTTTTATTTGTACATGTTTGCATTCGGTACATAATGATTACATTCATTGTGGGTAGTTGGTACATGTCCTTAAGACACCTTAATTCTTTATACATTCCTCTGTCCTCCCTTGTGGAATTTATTTGCAATAATTTATACAGTATTTACGAAAATTGTCCCCTTCATCTGCTTATTAAATATAAATACCACAAAGGTAGAGCCCTTATTTGTCTTGCCTACTGCTCTGTCCTTAGCATCACCACAAACCACAGCACAGCTTCCAGTGAATATTTGTTGTATGAGTGAGTGTGGGGGGGAGGAAGGCTTTTTTTGGAAAAAAAGAAGGAAGAATTAATCCTTCTCCTAATAGTGACTCATTGTTTTCAGGCCACCCTTGGCCTTTCTCATCCAAAACATCCATGAGAAAGAGTGCACTGGCAAAGCAGTTGGAGCTGTTGATGTAACAATATTTCAAAACACCATCATTAGGAGCACAGCAGGGGATCCCTTGATCTTCTAGGTATTCTGCGATCTTCTATGATCGTCTAGCTACGATTTTTCTCTTAAATAGGTTCCTGTCTTGGAGACACTCTCCTCCAGACTCTGCCCCTTTCCCATTTCGCTGTTTCACCAAGAATTAAAGAAGACCCCGGTGTGAGGCAGCACCCAGCTTTTCCCCGGAGAAGCTTCGTTCTTTTCATTGAGGTCTTCACCATTGAGGTTTTTACACGTAGGTGAAATACCCACGCCACGTTTTTCAGGGTCCAGAGAACGCGCGTCAACCACAGTTCGGGGTATTGTTGCAGCGCCCCCTGGCGGCAATCCTGAAGGACGGCGCCCGCGGTCCACGGGCCCCTGCAGTGTTCCAAACTGTTGAGAAAAGAACGACTCCATCCTTCTTGGCTCCGGAAGCCTCCAACTGTCCACCCTCTCTGGGCCATGGCAAAGGCAGTCGGAAAAAGCAAAAATGGTAACTGGGGAGCGGGGAGAGGGCAAAGCCCTGGGCCCCAAGACTTCATCACTTTTTGTCCTTTGTGAGATGGGACAGTCCACTATTGTCCTGGGAGGTAACCTCTCTCATTGACTATCAAGGTATCATTTCCGTGCAGTGAGACGCCCCTCCCTGTGTAGTGAAAAGCTCTGAGTGCTGACGAGCATATATCTAAGGTCGAACCCCACCTCCATGAACATAGGCAACCGTGCCACCCCTCCGCCCTATTACCCTCAGCTGCCTGCTTGGCACCAACGCCTCTTCCACCCCGGTTGCCCACACTCTCATTTGTTTCCTAGCGTTTTGCCTTTTCCATGGAAAAAATGTCATAAAAATGGAATTATGAATGGAGCTTTTTGAGTCTGAGTTCTGTTACTGAACCCCGCTGTCTTTTGATACTAGACTTCATAGATTATAAGCCTGCCTGACATAAGCATGCTGAGGAAGGGAGCATGCCCCAGCCCTCAACTGCTCCCTGAACCCTGGCCTAGAAGGCTTTGAAGACCACATCTTGTTTATTCTGTTATTATTATTTTCTAGCCAGAAAGCTTCTGTGGTTTGGGGGAAGGCGAGGTTGGCAATGGCAAAGGCCATCTGCTTTCAGCAAAGGGCTAGGAAATCTGCCAGCTCCCCACAGCTGGGTAAGCCTTGCTCAGCAATGGCCCTGAAATCACCACAGTCACACAGACAGCTGTGGCAGAGTTCTGGCGAGTTGCAGTATGCCACTCCCACTCGTCCTTGTGGAAGGAGTTGTACACAGAATCCTGGAAAGGTATACTGAAAAAGAACCTTCTGGAAGCTTCCTCACAGAACATCATTTGTCCTAAATCACTGCTTAGCCCTCCAAACTTTCTTGTGAGATTTGGTCCTGTAGAAAACATGTTCCAACCCCATCACCCATCGTCCCCAAAGTCTTTGGATTTTCCTCTCAAATGCTTTTTGGATCTACCTACTGTCCATCTCCACTGTCACCGCCATCGACATGCTTGGGCCCTTTCCATGTCTTGATTCCACAAGCAGCCAGAGGTTTGATTTTATTTTTGTTTTAAATGCAAATCTGATCATGTGCTGTTTAAACAACTTTCACTTTCCGTAAGGTAAACCTGAGCACCAGCCCTTGTTGGCATAGCTTTTAGGCTCCCCACCCCATCCCTGTACTCGCCTCCTTCTTGTTCTAAATAGGGCTCCCTGTCTCAGAATCTGGGTACACTTTGCTCTCTCCCATTCTCCTTCATATAAATATTTCCTGTTGGTCCTTTCAACCTTAATTCATATTTACCCCCTCAGAGAAGCCTGATTTATCTGCCTCCCGCAGATAAGTCCTTGGTCTCCTGTTATCTGGTCTCAGAGGGTTTTTTTTTTCTTTTCTGTTTTTCTGAGATGGGGTCTCTCTCTGTAGTGTAGGCTGGTCTCTGGATCCTCCTGCCTCAGTCTCCCAAGTGCTGAGATTGCAGGCATGCCATACCATGCCTGGGTACCAAAGAGCTTTCTGTCCTTTTCCTTCATAGCTTGTGTTATTATTTGCTCTCAATTTATATTTCTATAACTGACTGATAACTGTCTCCTCCACTCAGTTATAAGATCCTTAAGGGCAAGAAACACATCTCTTTGTCTTACTACAGTAAATCCAGGATCTAAATACACTGTCTCTGCATCAATGTTCAATTGTTTGTTTTTTGAGACAGGCTCTCACTATGTAGTTCAGGCTGGACTTGAACACACTGTGTAGCCCAGGCTAGCCTCGAACTCGTAGTGATCCTCCTGTCTCAGCCTCCTGAGGGCTGGGAATGGAAGCGGGCACCACCACACCCTGTATGCCAGCATCAATTAAATATTTTAAGTGACTGGGTAATAATAACTAATACTGATTAAGCACCCATGATATACCAGGCACAGTGAAAAAGCCCTTTAATGTTGTCATTTAATTCTCATAGCACTTTATTTATTATCCTCATTTTACCAACCAGGAAACTGAGGAAAAGGAAGGTTATAGGCAGTCTGGCTTCAGAACCCCAGGGACTGCTGCCATGCTGCAGTCAATGACTGAAACAAGCTCCTCTCTCCCCCACTCCCCTCTCTTTTAGAAAGCCGAGATAGGCTAGAGCTCAAGCCTTCTGTACACAACTTGAAAAAAACGAAGCAGACCAAACTCACAGTGGGCAGCCTGGGACTGGGCCTGATCGTCATCCAACATGGGCCCTACCTCCAGATTATCCACCTCATCAAGAAGGGGGCTGCAGCCCAGGACGGGAAATTCCAACCAGGTGAGCGTGGTTTCCCTAGGCCTCCCTCCAGTCTGTCTTCAGGGAGTCACGGGCTTTCAGCGTAACCAAAATAACTGAGAACCAGAATGATACAAAGCTATTGCCTGAGAACTTTACATGTACCAGTCAATGGCTATCACTTATACAACTCTCACTGTTGGGTGTGAGAGTTAATTCTTACAATAATCTTTTTTGGGGGGTGGTACCAGGGATTGAACTTGGGTCCTATGTGCTTGCAAGGCAGGTGGCAGAACCAGTGAGCTAAATCCCAGGCCCCTCTTACACTAATCTTAATTCTTACAACAGTCCTCTAGTTGGGAGCTGTTAATCGTCCTCTTTTCACAGGTGAGGAAATCAAGGGTGAGCTCCTTATCCAGGGTCCTCTGCACCTTATCAGTGACACACAAACAAGGGCCCAGTGTCACTGCAGTTTGTGACTCTGTTCAGAAGTACATCTTTTGGGGGCAGCAGCAGCCATCGCTAACATTTGGATGCATGAGTTCATTTCAGCCTCCCAACAGCCCTGAGAGATAGATTCTGCATCAAACCACCTAATAGGGCAAGGAAGCAGACAGTTACGCTGAAGAGTAGGATTTGAATTCTCCCTCCGAGACTCCAGAGCTTTACCAGTAGCGTCCTGCTTCTCTGGTCTTTGGATCAATATATTTTTGCTTTCTTTTTTGTTTTTGTTTTTTGAGACAGGGTCTTGCTCTGTAGTTCAGGCTGGTCTTCAACTCACTATGTAGCCCAGGTGGCCTTGAACTCATGGAGATCATCCTGCCTCAGCATTCTGAGTGCTGAGAATACAGACATGTGCCACCAGGCCTGGCTCTGGGTGAATATATTTTCTATCCGATGCAAGATGTCCTTTCCTTCTGAGTGCCTACCTTGGGCCTGGTGCTATGCTCAGGAGTGGGGAAGGTACAATGAGGGTGGTGACATGGTGAGAGAAAAAACCTTTCAGGTTGGCTGGCCTGAATTCAGGTCTGAGACCTGCCACTTCCTAGTTCTGCGTCCTTGGGCAAAGTCATGTAAGCTTCTAGGCCTTAGTCAACTTCATTTCTTCTTTTTTTTTTTTTTTTCCAGGGCTGGAAATCAAACCCAGGGCCTCACATATGCTAGGCAAGGGCTTTACCACTGAGCTATGCTCCATCTCAACCTCATTTCCAAATTGGAAGAATCCTGTGTTTGTCAAGAGAGTGCTATGATTTGATGAAATAATTTTGATGAAAGTGCTCTAAAAACTCAAGTATTTTAGAAATACTGGCTGGGGCAATTAGGGCAGCACCTCCCTGGCAAGTGCGAGGCCCTGAGTTCGATTCCTAGTACCAAAGAAAGAAATACTGGCAATTCTCTAGACTGTATCTTTTTTAAAAACATAAAGAATGATTGTGGTATGGGTATGGTGGCAGAAGTCTGTAATCCCAGTACTCAGGAGGCTGAGGCAGAAGTATAGCTGCAAGTTCGAGGCCAGGCTGGGCCACATAGCAAGACCTTGTCTCAACAAGACAAAAAACAAAACAACAGGAAAGATTGTGATACAGGACTCCTAGCAATGCTGGTTAGCTATTAGAATCACCTGGGGAGCTTTGAAAACCAGGATCCCCGGCCCCATCTCCCCTGAGGTCCTGATTCAATTGGTGTGGGTTTGAGACTGGGTAGTTCATGCTTTAAAAGCATCTCAGGGGATTCTAATTTGCAGCTCAGGTTCGCAGCAACAGATTAAATGAGAAAGTGGATAAATGCTACTATTACAAAATGGTTTGCCTTACCTCAAAACTGAAAGCATTTTCTTTGCATATCCTACTTGGTGCTGGGAGACAAATTGCCAGGGCGATTCTAGACTTCCAAGATTCTGCCTTCTGCCACTGTGACAAATACCTGAGATAAACAATTTATAAGGAGGAAATATTTGCCATGGCTTCCGGTTTCAGAACATAGCAGAAGTCTCTCTTGCTTTTGGACTTATGGGGAGGTAGCAGGTCATGGCGGGAGTGTGTGGCAGAGGAAGATCTTCATCTTTCAGGCAAAATGGAGGCAGGAAAGGGGTGCAGTAGCAGCGTTCTCAGGGGCACACCCCCCAGTGATTCCACTTCCTACCGCTAGGCTCCGCCCCCTGACGATTCCATCACCTCCCTGCAGGTCCATGGTCTGGGGACTAAACCTTTGACACATGAGCCTGTGGGGGACGCCTGTCCAAACCGTAGCACAGACTAAAACTACAAGACAGCTCTCACGGGCTTTTCTGCTCTTGTCAGATTTGCTGCACTCAGATAAATGTTGGTTGTGTTGAATTCACCTTTTAAATCCAGGACTTACCTACCAGTACTGGCACATTTATTACGTCCATGCTTAATATACAAACAGGAAATGAATATTTGTCCAGGCATTGTACAAGGTGTTTCCATAACTATTATGGAACCCTCAAGTAGGAGTTTAGCTGCAAAGTCCCTCTGAACTGATTCATTCCTGGAATGTAGATAATCAAATATAGAAGCTCAGAGAGATAAAGTAATTTGTTCAATATACATGCTTACATCTGTGATCAGAGCTGGGATTTGAGCTCACATCTGCCTAGAAAGTCCATCCCTTTTTAGCCAATTGCCTAATAACTAGAAGATTTCAATATAGAGAGGCCAGAGCTTCAAATCTCTTTATGAAATAAATGTCAGCCAGTGTTTTTCAGTGTCTAGATTTCAGTCTGTAATTCAGCCACTTTTGACAATCATCACAAGATGGGAGGTGACCGTCATGGAAGCTTGCTATTTCTTTGATCCCATGGGCTCTGAGCACCTTTCTTTTTCATCCATGTTTTCAAAGCTCTCTCCTTTGGTATTTCATAATAAGCTTTCATGTTGATTTCCTAGTTTAGTTCAGTGTTAGTTTATTCTGGCCAGGCTTTAAATTCTTCTCGGCCACATTGTGGCTTTAATGGACTCTGATGTCCAAAGTCTTAAGGAATGAATATAGCTTTCCCCGAATGTGTGTTGTGTGCAGGCTCCTGGCTAGGCACTGTGAGTGCAGTGGGGAGCCAAAGAGATGGGCAATTTAAAATTTGAGAGGAATGGAGAAAAAGAAATAAAATAAATTTTTCACTAGTGGCATGGCTGCTGCGAAGCTAATTTAATATAGGTAACTAAGACAGTTTATATAATGTCATTCCTACAGCCCATTAAAAAAGAAAAAAGATGTGTAATGAGTCTGGTGTTCATAAATATCAAACTAGTGTCTCTCTGTGAAGGGCAATGTTAATATCTATTTGCTAGAGTAATCACATTCATACGCTGACACCTTTAGTTTACAGCCAGAACGGTCAGGGAATTAAGCTGTTTATTTTCTGCTGTCTTGATAAAAGTCACCCTTTTACAACATAATTAAGCAGAATGCCAAGCCATAGCTTTCAGCTATAAACACTCCTTTTAACATGAGGCATGTATGCTTGTGCAGAGAGGGTTTTTCCCCGTTGTAATTAACCTTGGTAGGAAAAGCAGCTGTTTCATACTGTGCAGCCTGCAGGTGGCTGGGAGAAGCCTTGTTTCATCATGGAGTTAGTTTCGGGTACATGGTCGATTTTTACCCCCAGCTACTTCTTAAGACTGAGGTAGAGGGTTTTTTCCATCCTTCTAAGTATTCATTTCTGCACTAATGGAAACTTTTCTTTCTGATAGTATCTAGCACTGGGGAAATCTGTCCATCGCATTTTGTCTTGTTTGTTCATTTTTGTCTGTCTGTTTGTTGAGACAGGGCCTCACTATGCAGTTTAGGCTGGCCTTGAACTCACTATGTAGCCCAGGTTGGCCTGGAACTTATGGCAATCCTCCTGCCTCAGCCTCCTGAGTGCTGGGAACAGAGGCATGCACCACCACACCCAGCCTCATAGCATTCTTTGGAAGCATCCTTGAGCATCAGTGTAATTTCCTATTTAGCCCATGAAGGTGTAGTGTCAGAGAAAGGTGCTTCTTCTCAACCCTTCTTTCCTTTGAGGTCGGGCTTGAGCTGTCTTGGAATGACAGTGATTTGGGGTACCTAGTTTCCCACACACAGAGAGGTGGACCCATCTTTTCTAAGTTCAACTTCAACCCATGTCAGTTCTAAAAGCCCCATTACCGTTTGGCAGGATGTCAGTATTAATAAGCTTGTATTAATAAGCTTTGACGGCTATTTTACCCAAAATGAGCCTGTCCTTAAAAAAATAAATCTTTTGTATTCCTTCTTCAAAGTGTTTTCTGAATGCAAATAGCATTCAGGGTTTGTCACTGAAAGCAACACAAAACAGTCCTGTGGGGCCCTGAATTTAGGGTAGAAATGTGACAGAATTGCCAGAAAAGCTGAAGAAGCAGGCTTGGAAAATGGGAGAGAGCAAACAGCTGTGCAAGACCACTCCCAGAAGCTGAGCGCTGTTGTCACCCCCAGCACCTCTGTTCCAGGATAAGTGACCTGGGAGGCAGTGTCTGGTGACTGGATCTAGTTTACAGGCTGGTGTCCCAGCTACTGGGGGTGGGAATGGGGGATGTCAGCAAGGGTGAATATAGGTTATTTGGGGTTTTTTTTTTAGCTTTTTCCATTTTGGGAGTCCAAAATGGAGTATTTGTTGGCGTATTTGTTGCCAAGATGGTGTCTTCTTCCCACCTGCTCCACAGTTGACTGTCATGCTTCCCTTCCTGTCCAGCACAACCCTCAAGTAGGAGTTTAGCTGCAAAGTCCCTCTGAACCCATGCACTGTGCATACACCTCAAGCATAATTAAAGCAAGCTAATTGCCTGATGTTTCAGACAGACTTATTTTCCCAACTAATTCTGTAAAGGAGCTGAAAATTAATAAAAGGCTTGATGTTTAATACAGGCTATTTACTGTGGAGGGTACTGGAAATTGCCAGGCAGGTATAATAGAAAGCAGATCATTTACTGATCAGTTAGTCTAAGTGGTTTTTTTCTTTACTAGTAAAAATCATTCATTTTCCTTGAAACTAATATATTTTCAGAAGCTAAAGGATGGTTCAGACTATAAATGGATTTTAGCCTCTGTTATACCAAGAATTTTAGCAGTGTCTCAAGAACATAGCAGAACATCCTCCATTATGTTGCTATTAAGAAAGCATCTCACAATCATTCTTCATTACGCAGAGGACACTGAGGTCAAAGAGATGAACTCTGTTTTTTTCAATATGGAGAAATGAATCCAGGGCGTGCTGAGCTATAGCTCCAGTCCCTTTTACATTTTATTTTGAGATGGGGTCTCACTAAATTCCCTAGGTTAGCCTTGAACTTGCAGTCCTCCTTTCTCAGACTGCCACGTAGCTGCACAAGCACTCCTGTACCAAGGCAGCTGTACCACCACTCCTGGCCAAGGTGAACATTTTTATTTTTATTTATTTATTTTCATACCGGGGATCGAACTCGGGTCCTTGTGCTTTAGAGGCAGGCAGTGGAACCACTGCGCTACATCCCTGGCCCTAAGATGAACATTTTTAATAAAGGGTAAAGAGTGGTTTTGGTCCAAGATAAAATACCTTACAATGAAGTCAGAAATCAATGTGGCCCTTAAAACCCATTATCTTAGTTTTACTGATAATATTTTTCTTCCTTCAGGTGATGTTCTGATTAGTGTCGGTCATGCCAATGTGCTAGGTTATACACTTCGGGAATTGTTAAAGCTTTTGCAACACATCACCATACAGTGCTACAAATTAAGGTGTACCGAGATTTTATCGACATACCCCAAGAATGGCAAGAAATATATGATTTAAATCCTGAGATAAAACCCCCGGTAACATTTAGGTAAGTACTTAATTTAGGAACTCTGTTACAATGCAGAACCCAGGGCCTGTGAGTCACAGGGACCTGGTTTAATTATTAGATGGTTAAGGACTATGGGAGGAGGGACTGGTGACATTGCCAGAATAATTTAGAGAACTGCTGGATCCTTTGGGAAAAGATGGTCTGCAGGATCTCATATGAGGCAGCACGATAAAGGCAACTGGGGTTAAAAACAATCAGCAGTCTCTGGTGGGAGCTCTGTCCCCAAGCCTACAGGCATTGTGCCCTTCTTTCCAGTCAGCTCTTAAAATGTGCACTTGTGCTGTTAGCTTTTCTCTCTGAATCCTTCCTAATAATATTGAAGCCCTTTTATGCTATTCCCTCCAAGTCTACTCCCCTTTCCCTGTCCTGTGCAGCCACTGTACCACCCTGGAGTCCCCTCCAAACTTGTTCAGCTACGTCGACATCTCCATTTTCTCAGGAGACACCACTCCCCAGTGCTCACTCCTCAGCCCGCCTCCACCTACACATGGCTTTGTGCCTCAGCTGCAGGTTCTTCTGGGGATCATCCACAGCCTTCAGCTGTGATTGCAATGACTCTCCTGTATTTACTTTGCATGGCCTCTAAACAGCATTACACTTTACAACTACCCCTCTACCTCTACCTCGGACATCTTCCCCAGGCTTATGTGTTGCCACACTTTTTTATCTTGTAGTTTGTGAGACAAGGTGTAGCTATGTAGTTCAGGCTGGCTTCAAACACAAGGCTATCCTCCTACCTCAGCCTCCCAAGTGCTACAATTACAGATGTGTGCCACCACGCCAGGCTTACGATGCCACACTCTTGTACTTCTCACTTCCTCTTGGTCTTTTTCCCCAACTCAGAATTCCTCAAGGTTAAGGGTAGGGGAAAGGTAATAAGGGGAAAGAAAAAAAATATGAGAAAATGAAAAAATGGAAATAAAGTGTTTGTAAATGGGGAGGGAAGGAGGGGGTGAAGGGAGGGCAGGGACAAGGGGAAAAAATGAGAACCAAGACCTGTCATGTATAGGTACAAGATCCCAATGATAAGTGTGACTGTACTGTATACCTAAAATGTACCAATAAACTCAATTTAAAAAATTCCTTAAGGTTTAGCCTTTGGCTCAGTGTGGTAGGGGAAAGGTAATAAGGGGAAAGAAAAAAAATATGAGAAAATGAAAAAATGGAAATAAAGTGTTTGTAAATGGGGAGGGAAGGAGGGGGTGAAGGGAGGGCAGGGACAAGGGGAAAAAATGAGAACCAAGACCTGTCATGTATAGGTACAAGATCCCAATGATAAGTGTTACTGTACACCTAAAATGTACCAATAAACTCAATTTTAAAAATTCCTTAAGGTTTAGCCTTTGGCTCAGTCTCTTTGGCAATCAATTTCAATTTCATTGATGCTTGTGGTTTCTATTACTATCCATACGCTAGTCACTTTCAAATTGTACTATCTCCAAACTTGTATATTTAAACACCCACTTGATCTCTTCTGGATGTATAATAAATCCTTTGAACTCTAGCTTGACTGAAAGCCAGCTCAACAGTGATTTTCCAGTGGTCCTATTGTACGTGCGTGTGTGTGTGCAGGTCTCCTGCATTGACCTACATCCCCAGGGTCTCACTAAATTGCCCAGGCAGGACTCAAACTTCTTCTGCCTCAGCTTCCCAAGTGCTGGGATTACAGGCATGGGCCACCAGACCTGGCTATGACCCTATCTTGGTGAGTGTTTACCAACTTGAACAAGCCAGATATTTAGGCTTGTGCTTGGTTTCTAAGACTTGTCATTTACCCTCTATCTTCTCACATTTGTACACTTCTATCTCTGGCTATTCCCACTGTCCCAGACAGTCACCATTTGACCTCTGTGTACCTACTCTCACTCCGTATTCATTCTCCACACAGGATGATCCCTTTACAATGCAAATGTGGTCATAGCATCTTCCAGCTTAAGATTCTGAAGACCTGATTTTAGAATGAATGCCAAAATCCTTACACTGGCCTATAATGCCATACAGAGTCTGGCTTCATCTCATGCTTCTGTCCTCATCCTCTAACCCTCTTGGGCTTTCAGCCTTCTGGTCTTGTGTTGCTCTTTGCTCTGTAACATGTGTAAGTGTTCTCTTCAGTATTCATCCTCAAAGGCTCTTTTTTTTTTTTTTAATACCTGGGATGGAATTTGGGCCCTTGCACTTGTGAGGCAGGCAGTGGAATCACTGAGCTAAATCCCCGGCCCTAAAGGCTCTTTTCTTAAGAGGCCTTCAAACAGGAGGCATCACCACCTGCTGTATGCTTTCTTTGCATTCTTTATCTCTACATTTACCCAGTTTTGATTAAATAGTATGTATAATCAGTTGTTCATGTTTCCCTAGGAAAGTGTACATTCCAAGAAGGTAGGGACTGAATCAGTCTAGTTCTGCTAAGCCTTCTATGAAATTTTCACATGGTGGAGGGCTCAATTATTGGAAGAATGAATGAAAAATTGGAAGCAGCTTTGAATCTCATTTATCTGTACCAGATTTAACGGGGATTCTTCTAAGGATCAGAATTAGATCCTTTCCCTTAACGTCCAATTCGATGCTCTGATGCAACAGTGGCCTTTAATTCTGTCAGGTTTCTGAACACTTAGTGGTTGTAGCTGTGTAACTTTGCTCAAAGACACATGGCCCATATTATAACTTTACTGCAGAGACCCAGACTTATGGCTAAAGATCTGGCAGAGCCCACAGCTGTGCTCTGCTGAGCTCTCACAACATTTAAAAAAACCCAGAAGGGCAGAGACCGTAGAGAGCCAAGACACATGGGATGCTTAACCAGCAGCAGTAATACTCCACTCCTTGACTTGGATGGTGGCCACTAAGACATTTGCTCTCACACACACACACACACACATACATATATATATACACACACACATTTATAATTTTTTTCTTCATTAAACTGTTTTGTCATTCTTCTGTGTATTTCAAAATTTTTTAAATGAAAAAATATTTATTAGTTGCCCAATTTATAAATCTTGTATTTCATGGAAAAAAATCTCCATCTCTGATTTCTCCCAGAAACCCAGAAGATGGACTGATATTCCTAAGTGATAATGGTGGGCTTAAAAGGGAACAGCTATCCTCTCTGGATCAGACAAACTGGGGAAGATTTGTTTTTCCTGTGACCAGATCAATGCTGATTTGATTTACAATCATTAAAGCTATTAGTGAATACTTAACTAACTCATTGCATACCGTGTGGTCAGCACTGCAACAGGATTTTACAAGTAGGCCATTTAATCCTTTTGCAAATGCTATTTTTATGCTCATTTTACAGGTAGCAGTGTTTAAAAAGTTTACCATGGGGCACAAGGATACAGGGCACAGGTCTGTAGAGTAGGGCTGTTAACAACTTTCTTCTCATATACTAGCTACTGGGCACTTAAATGTGGGGGAATGTAACCAAGGAATTTAAAAATTATATTCAAGTTTAATTCATTTAAACCTAACAGCCCCATTCAGCCAGAGGTCTCTGTATTGAAGACTGCAACTCTAAAGCCTGAGTTCCTAACCATTTGCTTATAGAGCCGGTATGTTCTAAGCATTTCCAATACTAGAGAAGATTCAGAATATTAAAACCTGAGGATGGCAGTTTGACTACTCAAAAGCAAAGGGATAACAGAGAAAAAGAGCACAATTAAAGTACAAGGCTAAAGCCCACAAACTTACAAAAAATACCAAGCACATTCTAAATCCTTTCTTAAGCAAAATTCTTACAGTGAAGGCATTTTGGTAACATGTGGAAGGCATGAGGGGAAGGGCGACTTCTTTCACAGCAAGACCTTTCTCTGCAGCAGACAGCACTGTGTACAGCGAAGACACTCCATATCATGCCCTGGGTGGGCCTAATTGCATGAAATCTTTGTTTCCAGCCAACCATGACCTCTGCTGGCTGTGGCCTAACGCCAGTTTAATTCGAGCTCACTCTACCACCCGTTCACCTCTTACAGTCTGAGAAAAAGGACTTAAATTTTTTAAAACTTTAAACTTTTAATTTTTAAAACTTTAAAGTGTAAAAAGAACTTTAATTTTTCGTTTTCATTCAGGAAGTCCTGAATCTGTCAGAAGGCAAAGTGTTTTAATCCTGAGTTGTGAATTTCCCTGCATGGCCCTAAATCCAAGATAAAGAAAATCTCACCATTTAAGACTAGTGGCTGTCAGTGAAAATGACTCAGTACCAAGTGCCTACTATACAATAGATAAAATTTAGAAAAAGTTGCTTAAGTTCTTAAAAGTAAATAAGGCAGATTGGCAAGAGTCTAGCAAGTCTGACAGGTTGGCAGGGCATGGGGAAGAAACCTGTTTCCTATTAGCAGGAAGCAATGTGCCAGATGGCTATAATCTCAAAGATCTAGTTTTGGATCCACTGAGCAAAGGATGAGGGAAAGCAGTGAGGGACGCATTTGTCCTGCAAAGTAATATCAAGTACAAGTACTGCAGGCCCTGGAAAAGTCCAGAGGCTCATCCATGTTTCAACAATCAAGCCAGCTCAGCATGGTGGTGCACGCCTGTAATCCCAGGACTCTGGAGGCTGAGGCAGGATTGTCTTGAGTTCAAGGTCAGCCTGGGTTACACTGAGTTTAAGGACAGCCTGAACTACATACCGAGACCCTGTCTCAAAGAAACCCAAACCAAAACAAAAAACTTCAAAAACAAGCCAACAGTTGGGGAAAATAAAAAAATAAACAAAAATGATCTTGAAAGCTTTTGGATGACAACAGAGGTGGAATAGTGAATGTTGAGTAGAAGTGCTCTCTATAAATCCACATCTGTAAGCCCTGAGAGGCAGAGAATGATGTTCTGTGTGGCAGTATCATGAGAAGAAGACTCAAGGACTTACAATGACTAGCATGTTGAAGATCCTTGAGGCTATTTCCTGGCTCCCCTGGCAATCAGTGATCTTTTTTGGTTATTGCCACATGAACTGTTTTGTTTTAGAACAGTTTTCAGGAGATTGTCAGGTTGAACTTGTCACTGTAGATGAAGTGAAATAAATCCATCCTTTAAGTCCTCCTAAGATTCCGGTCAGCAGTATGGTTTAAATTTGTGCAGTTTCAAAAAGTAGTATGAATCAATTTAAGGCAAGAGTCAATTTAAGAATAAAAGCCAGATGTGATGGCACATGGCTGTGACCCCAGCACTTGGGAGGCCGAGGCAGTAGGACGGCCTGGAGTTCAAAGCCAGGCTAGAATGTGTGATCCTCACGCCTCACCCTCCCAGAGAGGGGCTGGGATTAAAAGTGTGTGCCACAAAGCTCAACTTTAAAGGTATTTTTTAAAAAGATAAAAACTTCAATGATGCAGAAAGGTAGTACTAAAACCAATTTGTATTTCTTTTTATGAGCCAAGCAGGTTATAAGACACCATATCTTATAAGTTTGCTGATATTAAGAATTCATTTCATTCACTTTTCATTTCAGCACACCAGACACTGAGCAGACAACAGATGATTCTGTTACCAGCAGTGATGATGATGAAGATGAAGTTTTAGGTAAAAGTTTTAGTTTCACTTTTCATTTCAGCACACCAGACACTGAGCAGACAACAGATGATTCTGTTACCAGCAGTGATGATGATGAAGATGAAGTTTTAGGTCCACAGTCAACTGGACAACAGCCTGCAAGGATGCCAGTATCTACCTTGAGTGAATGGCATGAATATAAAAATGAAAACCACACTATTCATGTTGGAAAAGGCATTAAGAAAATGAGAGCCCCTTCTCTGCAGTGGACAATGGCAGAGCAAGACAGTGACAGCTCTTCTTCCTCGGCTTCCTCTACTTCAGATGCATTTTGGCCGGAAGACTATGCCCAAGCTGAGAAGGGCAAAGGTCAACCAGTATCTAAAGTTGGTTAGGCAGTGCTTTGCCTATATGTGGTCATACAAGCATTTATATTGAAAACACCCAATTTTTATTCCTCACCATGTACAGGTTTGCAGGCATTCTTACAGAATAAGTACAGACCTATCAATTCTCTTCCAGGACTGTGTTGAAAAGCTTTAGACACTTTCTTGTGTGATGGTGAAGGACTCAGAGGCCTCACAAATCATCAAATAAAATACCAATAAAATAGCAACATTATTCAGCTCATCAAAACCCTGAGAATTTTTCATCTTTTAGAAAATGCAGTACAGGAACCCAGTATCTAAATGTCTGAATACAATGGAGAAATTTAATTTGAGGTAAATATTTTTTGATATTTGGTTTTTCCTTTCTGTAAAACTTATGTCCTAAAAAGAAATAACGGAAGCTGGGTATGCTGATGCACATCCACAGTCCTAGCTATTCAGCAGGCTGAGGAAGAAAGATCACAAGTTTGAAGCCAACCTGGGCAACTTGACAAGATCTTATCTCAAAAGATAAAAAGGAATGGGGAATGTAGCTCAGTGATAGATCACCCCTGGGGAAAAAAGGGCTAAAAACCAGACCACTTAACCCAGACAACTTAACTGTTGTTACCCAAAGTAAGTTTTTTGGGGGGCGGGGCGCTCGGGCAAGCTCTGACTCTCCTATCCTGGAATGGGGTTGTTGCATCTTACCTCAAGCAATTACGTTACAAAAAACAAAGCTAAGTAAACAAGGCCTTTCCCCAGATAGGCTCATTATCAGTTAGCTTTGCATGACCTATTCCTAAAAAAGCCGCGTTCCTTTTCAGAACACACAACTGCTTAGGGCACAGTTAAAACAATGTTCTCGCATTGCCTTGAGAGCCTCAGTTCCCATTCTTTAACCTTTGAAATTATCGTGTTTGTGCTTAAAATTCTAAAGGACACAGGCCTCATTCTTATAAAATTGGAAGAAAATGGCAGGCTGGTGTCTAATTCCGGGGTTAGCAGGTTGTGAACAATGGCTGGAGGTCTTCCTCTTCCTTAGTGTGTCACTCCACAAGATGGGTTCTGTGGTGTCACACGAGGTGTTAGAAATGGATGCTGCACTGCACTTCTTGTACTCATATGGCTTCTCCCCAGTGTGGGTCCTCTGTTGCAGTGAGGTTTAACCTCTACCTGAAGGCCTTGCCACACGAGACATATGTAAGGTTTTTTACCAGTGTGGATTCTCGGGAATAAGTGGGTATGAGCTACATGTGAAGGCCTTCCCACATTAGTTTCTCACATATGGAAAGTCTCTACTATGGATTCTCTGGTGGACAATAAGGGAAGAGAGCTGACTGAAGGCTTTCCCACACTTGCTGCAGTCCTTTGGTTTCTCTTCAGTGTGGATTCTCTGGTGTACGATAAGGTGTGAAAAGCAACTGAAGGTTTTTCCACATGCTGCACTTCTACTGGCTTCTCACCAGTATGACTTTGCTAATGCATACGATGATTTGCATTGAGTGAAGGCTTTGCCAGTCATTACAGGAAAAGGGCTTCTTTCCAGTATGAATTTTCTGGTGGACAATGAGGTTTGAGTTTTCCTGCACTTCTTTTACTCATAACATTTTTCATTAATGTGGATCTTCTGGTGCTAGGCAAGTTGTGAGAAGTAACTGAAGGCGTTCTCACATTCACTGCCCTTGAAGGTCTTTTCTAATGAATGGATCTTCCGATACAGTCAGATTAGAACTCTGCATGAAAGCTTTCCCACATTTTGCACACCCAAATGGTTCCTGTCCAGCGTGGATTCTCTGATGCACAAGGTTTGCCCTCTGAATGAAGCAGCCCTTGCCACAAATATTATATGTAAAAGGCTTTTGCCCCGGTGGGATTTTCTGATTTTTAACAGAGCCAGACTCAAGGCTGTATCTTCCTCCAGATTTCTTACATTTCTGTTCTTCTTTGAAGCTTTCAAGTATGTGATACTTGTCTGAAGTCTTTCTTTTTCTTCTTTATTCTCTGCCTCTTTAACATGTTTCCTTTCCCACATGCTTCTCCTAACTCAGTTCCTGAGGGTCAGCTTTCTGGATTCTGCATGATAGTTAGAGGGGTTTTTCAGCTTCTTCACACATTTGTTTTGGAAACAAGTAACTAACTAGGTTCTTGGTTTCAGCATCTAAGTTCAGGTCCCCCTGAGTCTATAGCATCTCACTCTTGGCCAGAGTCCCTGGGAAGGAGCAGCTGCCAAGGATTGGGGTTACAGCAGCAGGTGCTTCCTATGTTGCTTTTAGAACCAGTGCCATGTCCCAGGACATACTGTGACCCTTTTTCTCTTCTGATAAATCAAGGCCTGGCTGAGGATCCTCTCCTGGGGCCCAGACCTTGATGTTCTCAGCATGCATTCGTTGGAAGGATGCCTGACTCAGTACATTTTTATCCTCTTCCTCTTTTTTCACCTTCACTGGGCCCCAAAGTGCTAAGGCCATGACCTCTTTTAATTCTGCAGTCATTTTCTTGCTCAGAAGGACAACTCCTGAAGCTGGGGGCTACCCAGAAGTGGTTAAGCCTCATCAAACCCATGAACTTCAGAAGGTTTATATTAAGTTTATATTGAGTTTCTTCCCAGGATGGGCACTGCCTACCTGAGAGCCACTGGCTGGTTCTCTAACTTGTTTTTATCTTAAAAGTCACTAATAATAATGTGGAAATTTTTATCTTGATAGCTGCTTATTAGCTTTTTAAATAGTTTCTGGTGTTTCTCAGTTGATATAGTTCACTTATTCAATTATTATAGGCCTATCTCCTTTAAAGTATCTAAAATAAAGGTCTCAGTATGTAATACTTATTGATTAACTAGGCAAAATGCAAGAAAAACATTTAGGCAGAATGGTTTATTGACTCTAGGTCAGGTGGGAATAATTACCTAAATTTATACATTAAGATACTTCACCCAACTGAGAAAAAAGAAACATTATATTAGAGACTTTTGACTTTCATGTGTTTGCTGCTCTAGGCTGAGAAAAATGTCCAGGGCTTCTGTAATGTGCTTTAGTATTACAACTCATCAACGAAAGGTGTATGCCCCAAATTTCCACTTGCTGCCATTGACTTCTGGCCAGAAACAAACTTCTTTGCAGCCTTTAAATAAACAGAAGAATACAGAAAGTTAAAAGAAACAGTATGTATCATCAAGTAGATAATCTTGTCATTTCAAGACTTTATAGATAGAGCCCTTTATGCCAGCATTTTCTTTCTGAAGATGGATCACTGAAGTTCTTATGTATCATCAAGTAGATAATCTTGTCATTTCAAGACTTTATAGATAGAGCCCTTTATGCCAGTAAGCCCTTTATGCCAGCATTTTCTTTCTGAAAATGGATCACTGAAGTTGTCTAATGTTAAGTTATTAAGACTCTTTAACAGTCTCTTGTGACAGTTAACCGTGAGATGGTAGTGCTTTATGTGAGTATGAATACCCTATCATATGTGTGACCAAACGAGTAAGGGCAGTCCTCTAGATAAGAGGGCAGTGTTGAATGGCGGATGAGGAAAATCTCACTGACATGCAAAACAGGGTGATAACAGGCAGATCTGTACTGAGTCAATTGAAATACAATGATTGCTAAGTTAAAAGACAAACTTTATGTCCTGGTATTCCTGATGGCATTAATTCAAGTTCAAAGACTAGCAGTTTAAGTTAAGTGTAAAACAACAAAGCAGGTCTAGGTAAAGGGAGAATGCCCATAATATCTCAGGCCAGCTCTTTCCAAGGAGAGACAGCGACGGAGGCAGCTGGGTTGAGACGGGTACAGTCTCAGAAAGATGGAAGAGAGCCATTTAGAAGAGTATACACTGATGAACTTAGGGTCCAACTGAAGTCAGAGTTTTTATCTTAAAATAGCCTTGTCCCTTTTTTCTGTCCTATGATCACTATACCTTGACAAGAAGATGCTTAAGATATCTACAGTAGAAAAGGAGTTGGCATTTTTAATGTAGAAAAGACTTGGAAAACACACTGACTCTAGAAATACTCTGTAGTTTACATGCTTATTAGGCATAGTAGGAAATACAAAGAAGTATAAGACACATTTCTAGCTGTCACAACTCAGTGTTGTAAAGAACAATCACATATTGTGATTGTGGGGGAAAAAAGTAGCAGGAGCTGAGCAATGTCTTAGGCTAACCAAAGTAAAGAAAATCTTGACACTAGATAGTGAAGGATTGGCAGGATGAATTTACTTCTTGGGAATGAATGAGGAAAAACTAACAACCAACTCCAATTTAGATCCTACCCTAAAACATCACCAGTATTTAACTCTTCTTGACCTCTAAGAATTTAAAATGGCGTAACCTAACGATGATTTATTTGAATGAGGAAGACACATATACACAGACAGGTAGTATTCATTATCTGATGGTAACGAGGCCTCCCGTCTCCATACTAGGAACAGAGAGACCAATCAACAAGGGCAAAACATACAGCCCAAGGCAGCTTCTGTATTCTTTCTGAAAATGGATCACTAAAGTTCTCTAATGTTAAGTTATTAAGATTTCATTTGCTTACATTTATGACATCAGCATCAGCCACTGAGTCAATCTGCTGAAGGACTGTGGATGGTGGCACATAAGAACCAGCAACTAGAGCTTGAGACCCAACTTCATCCAGGAAACCCTCGGAAGACTCCACTGACATTAGGTATCCTGCTTTCAGCTTGTTCCTGTCCAACAAAAGGCAGGAATCAGTTTTATGGAGCAAGGCAATTTTAAAGCATGTATCTCAAACTCTGCAACATGTTCTTGGGAAACAGGCAAGTTAACAGCTCAAGGCCTCTGTTCTATTTCCTCAGCTCATGAAATAGCTTATTACTTAAATTATTGTTTAGAAAGATGTCAATTCAAAGCTATACTAAAACTTCAACAGATTACCTTCTGATTTTGGACCAGAACTTACATACAGATAAAGCTATTTTAATGTGAAGTAACTCCTCCTGTCTTATGATACATTTGTAGTGATAATTTTAGGCATTTCTATTAAACAAAGAAATCTACATATGTGGGATCTTAAGGTACTACCACTTGGCAGAATGCTCTGGGCTGACACACACCCCACCAAGTATTACTTAAACGTTGAGATTTGTCTCAGCAAGGATAGGGCATGAAGAAGAAGGCAGACAGGGAAGGCTACTACAGGACTTGTAAGACTAAGGAACTTAAATACTATGGGCACAAAGGATCAACTTGAAATAAAATATGATGACCAAATTCACAATTCTGGAAAGCAACTATTATTCCTTATAAACATGGTTTTCAATAAGGCACTAAATTATTCAAACCCCAAATAAATGATCATCCTTTGGCATTCTATGGTAAGACTCCCATTTAAATGTAATTACAATTTAAGACAGCAATTTTAGCATACTGTCCATATTGTCACTAAGGATTGCATTGAGTTCAAGGCTGGCCTGGGCTACATAGTGAGTTCAAGGCCAGCCTGAACTACATAGTGAGACTCTGTCTCAAAAAACCTAAAAAACAAAAAAACAAAAACCTACGCTATATTTATTAACAAAATACTTGTAAATTTTCTTAAACTAGATGTGAGACTTAGATTTTCCCTAAGTGAATCCAGTGTTTCAATTTATTCTTATACTTTTTTGTTGCTGTTGTTTACTTCTGGTACAAGCAAGTACAACTGTATCCTACTATCTTAGATTCATGCTTACAATTATTAATAAATTGTGTTATAGTTTTTCAAGATATTTGGTTTTAGGGCTGAGGATGTTGCTCAGTGGTAGAGCTACATGCATGAGACACTGGGTTCAACCCCCAGAACAGGAGGGGGAGCATGTAATTTTGTAGTGCAAAACTACAATACTAGCAATAGAAATGAGAAGTAAAAGTTGTTCCATACTGAGTTATAATTCATACCGTCATGCTTCCTGTGTAGGGATTAATAAATTATCATAGAGACCAAATGAATTACAAGGTTCTTAATCTGGAATTGTCATTAATTAGACCGACTTAACCTTAAATATCATAACTGCTATAGGAAAATGCAGTTTATTTTCCAACTTTTCCCTGAGTTTTAGTTAAAGGAAAAATCCCTTAAATACCAATGAGTCAGGAGGGGAGTGTTGTTTAGTGCTTCTAATGTGAACAGTGAGAATTTAAAAATCACCAAACAGTGACAAATCTTTTGTCTTCCTTAGAAAAAAAATAAAATCAGGTATCTTATGGAAACCCAGTTGGGAATCTATACCAAGATTCACTTGTCCCCTAGTTATGCAGTTGTCCTCTGGTACTGATTCCAGGACCCCCATGGATACTAAGATCCACAGATGCTCAAGTCTGTTTCGTAAGATGGCATACTGCTTGTATATAATCTATGCATAAACGCTCATACACTTCAATCACCCTAGATTACTAACAATACTTGATGCAATGTGAATGCTATGTAGACATTTGGTACATTGTATTGTTTAGGAAATGACAAGAAAGAAGCCTGCACATGTGCAGTATACATGCAATTTTCCCCCCAAATACTTTTTATCCATAGTAGGCTGAATCCATAGAGAATCTCTGGATAAGGAGGGCAAACTATAATTTAAAATATATGTTTTAAGTCCAAAGATATCTTTTATAGCCTATTATTTTCAACTGTAGAAAATGACAGGCATATTTGCTGTTTTTTTGATATACCAATTAATATTAGATAAGTCTTTAGTAACTTGAGTAAAAAGAAACATCATTATAACATTTTACAAAGGAGGAATCACTGGAGCTGTACATAGTGGTGGCATGCCTGAAACCCTAGCATTCCGGGAGGCTGAGGCAGGATGATCACAAGTTTAAACTGAGCTTGGACAAGCTAGCAAGGTCCTGTCTCAAAAACAAAACCAAAAAAGGGCTAGGGATAGAGTGAAGGCCTTAAATTCAATTCCCAGTACAACCAAAAAAAATAAGTGTGGAGGACATGGGATGGGAAGAGTGTCACTGATATGGAATCAATGATATTTAAAAAAATTTTTTTTTTCAAATTTCTACAACATGCTATTTTAAAGGATGTAAGTGCATATATATAATATTAAAAATTACATTTAAAAATAACCAAAATGTTCATGACTATATCTCTAGGTGGTAGGGTATATCTGTGTTTTAATTTATGTATTTATTTGCTTACTTTTTTTTTTTTTTTTTTTTTTTTTTTT